CTTTTGTTTTTACTGTGTGAAGCTATTTGCTTTTGTCTGAAGGTGTAAAGATTGAAAAACCTTGAGGTGAAATCTTCCTTTTTATCTTCTGGAGATTTAGAGCTGCAATAAAACCAAATAATGGTCTTCAAGCAGCAGTGCTGGAGGTGAGGCTGCAAAACCCACAGTGTTTGGGAAAAACAGTAGCTTTAATGAAGTTTGTCACTGACATTTGGCTTAACAAGTAGCTACAAGCCTTTAAAAACGGATTAAAGTTATACTGGGGCACATTAACAGACCACTGCTTTGTTAACACAGGGACACAGCAACACTCCGTTTTGGCTGAACAGCCTCAGTGTTTTCACAGTAGATTATAGGATGGACTTGAACCTGCTCAGCTGAGACAGAAATCATGGGGAAGGACTCACCAGAGGGAGATGAGTTGTCATGATCTGACCTTTCTGTGACTTACAGACATATCTCTACCCAAAGCCATTTCACCCAGAGATTACCCACTTCAGTTACTGTAGAAGATAGACCAGGGATGGAACACGTACATGCTTTCTTGCAACAAAACAGCCATGGGGACAGCATCCACGGCTATAAGCAGAGCTGGAGCTGAATTAGGCTTTACTACCCTTTTCACACATCAGAAATGTCATCTTTCTGACACATCCAACAATGAGCCACAATTCCTTATGCTTAAAATAGGGTAGCATCTTTTGGAACAGGGAAAACTTCCTTGAAAGGGAAGAGCAGGGCAGACTTGCTCTTTACAGTCAGAAAGCTGAGGAAACTGCATCCCAAACACTCCGAGAAAACCTTTTTCCTTCTCCCTTTTGTAGCAAAGGGAAGGAAGTTTGAGACTGATGTTCTTCACTTTACCTTAGAAGGTATAAGGTTTAGAGTCCATACAGTTGGTCTGACATTTGCCTTACTTTTATTAATCTTTGGTGATATGAATACTCAGCCATTATAAAATAAGTTTTCTCATCGCCTTTCATATAAAAGGGCTGGTGTGAAAGCTTTAAATAGCTACACTAATAACCTAAACAAGCAAGGAAGAAGTAAAAAAGTCCAGCCCTCAGATCCTTCCATGCATTCTTTAACTCCCACTTGAATTTCTGAAGCACTGTAATTATAGAAAATTCTGAAACAATTTTCAATAATTCATAATTACCAGGCTACCTAAAATACATTTCCTTGACACAAGCATAGGAATAACCACCAAGAATCAGATCTTCACATCTCATAGACCAATATTAATCAATGAAGCAAAGGAATATGCTGTGTATACTAATGCAGTGATCTAGAAACAGCTTGAACAGATTTAGATAGAACCTAAATTGTTGGGAAAAAAAGGAGTTATACAACCCAAATTTTTGTATTTTTTGGCTCAAAGGTAAACAAAGAGGAAACCTGCCCTTCTACTCAGAAGAGTTGTATGAGAGGGAAGTAAAAACATTGCTGGAGGCATGATGGCTCCCTATCCATCCAGGCAGGAGCAGGAGAGAGGATTGCAATTCTGATTTCAGGAAACCTCACCATAAACTGAGAACTCTACAATTCCTATTCAAAAAGCAGTCAGGAGTACTCAGATAAAGATTAGTAAGGAACTGATATGGAACAAAATATGTTACTTGAGTACTGCTGACTTCACTCCCATATCCGTTGAACTGCTTTGGGTTAGCAGAAATCAGGGTACCTTTCAACAAAATATTGCACCACGGGTAAATACTTTTTGGAAATGCTCTATTGCAAAGTGATTTTCGTCCCTTACCATGAATTAAATCCAAACACCTTTAGATAACTGTGAAGGGTGTTTTAAAATCATCGAGGACAGCTGTGCTACTACTAGTAACACAGGGAAAAAAATGAACATAACATCAATGGCAGACAACTGTGACTTCAGTAAGCATGACTTTACAGAGCATCTTTAATCTCAGCATTTCCTCATTTCTGATCATGGGGTTATTTAGAAGGCATGCAGCTCTCCACATGAGGTGACTCCATCTACCAGGTTTAAGACAAGAGGATTATCTTTCACTCAAGTGTTAACAAATTTCACACACAAGGTGTGTGCCTACAGGACCCTGATGGGGCTCTCATGGACCAAAAAAACCCATATGTTACCCGGCAGAGATGCAATTGCCACTGCTCAATGCATCCTCACAGTTCCTGCCTTGAGCAGCTCAGCACAGATACTATTTTATTTATTACAGTAGAATTAGAGGACATAGGAAGAGACATATTGATGAGTCCCTTCCCTTCTTCTGCACAGTCCGAGACCTGGAATTTCCCTGCAGCCTCCTTTGTGTGATGATCTGGGAGCCTACCACTGCACAGTCACCATTAATTAATTATTTTTTACTTGCACAAAGGCTGATTAGAGTGAGAAAAGCTAGAGTGCTGCAGCTGGAGATTTTTACCAGCATGGAAAAGGAGGAGGAATATGCCTGCCTACCACTCAAGCTCTGCATGTTCACTGTAAAGATAATGTAGCAGAGACTTTAAATTCAAGTGCTAAAAGGCCATTACCGTAGGCTACAGGAGCCCCTTTTCACACTACAGTATGCCTTTCTATGTGATCTCATTTAGGTTCCTGCTGTCAGGGGGATTGGACTAGATGATCTTTTGAGGTCCCTTCCAATCTCTAACAATCTGTGATTCTGTGACTAGCAACAACTGATGGTAAATAACTTTTACGCTGGGCGCCTTACACACCCATACTAACAGTGTCTGTGTTTGCAAGGTACCCTCTGCAATTTAGTTATGTAGGAGTTAAAAGTGTAACAACTTCTAATTATGACAACCCTGTCCAAAGGGACGTGAGATGTTTTCTCTGTTGAAGAGCAGACATTACTTTTTGACAGATACTGAAGTGAACCGAAGGCTGCAAGTTCTTTGGTTAATTTGCTTTTAAACAAGCATTTTTAGTAGCTTTAGATAGAAAATTTAAATAATGAATTTTTATTTGAGAAAAAAATATGTGAAATATAAATAGAGGATAATTCCTTATATCAAATTCAATTACAAGTGCTTCATTTTTAAGCACAAACATACAAGATGCTGAAGCACAGATGTGCTCACACCCTAAAAACCACCCTCAGCTCTTCTCTAGGACTGAGCTGACTGAACATGCAATCACTTAACCACAAACAGCTCTCCAACAGAGGACTGTAATGACAGAACAGCTATGCTCCAGTCTGTGTTTGGCAACAAAGAGCACAGGAATGAAAGCTGATGCCCAACTTCACTTTAAGAGACAGTCAAATGGCTATTATTTTCACTGCCAGAACTAAATTTTATTTCCATGTGTATTACATACCGGTATTTGATGCCAAGTACATTAAAATTACTTTAACAGAGGATTTAAGTGAGGAATATTTATTCTTCACTAAACAGGTTAAGAAGGAATGTAAAAACCTGTAAGAAAAAAGCTTTGTTTTGATTTTGGCAAACCAAACAGTTAAGTACTCTTCTGTTCTCTCCTCAGATCTTTCAAAGTACCAAAAAAGCATCTTTTCATAATCATGCACCTCAAGAAAAAAATAGTCTTATAAAATCCATTTCTTATGCTAAATATGGTTACAAATAAAGAGTATTAACACAAAACTCCCAATTCCTCTTTTGAAATACAAATACTGCATTATATTATGAAATGGGGATAATTAAAATATATCAATGACTACAAATCTAGTAATTTAAAGCAAACTTAAACATGCTGTTTGCTTTCATGTGGAAGAATCAGGATACTGTATGGTTCAAGCACTGCAGTCATTTTTGTCAACTCCTTGATGCCCAGAATGTCAAACCACCAAACAGACATGTATTCAGGTCTGAATAGCACCAGGTGTTTTTCTCTTTTTTTTTTTTTCTTTTAAAGATATTAACATTTAATAAAATTAGTGACGTGACAACTTTCTGAAAGTGACATGCACAAGTAGACAATTTGCTTCAAGTCTCCAAGCTAAAAGTTTTAGACAATACTGAACAATTACTAATGTATTTAATGGTACACAAGAAAACAGTGCTTCCACAGTATATCCTCAGTTCTCAAGTATAAAAATATCAATTATGGGTAGACAATAGTTATCAAAATTTTTATTGATACTGAATGAAAGCAGCATTTACTTTATTGTTTTTTAAATCATACATCATAAAATTCCCTAGTACACATGTGGAAGAGTGAAACAGGCTCTGCACTATTTATCTGCTACTGATCCTAGGTCCAGATTTAAAAGCTTTCCTGGCCAAATGCAAACAAAATAATTAATAGCAAAGGGAAGGCAGTTCCTCAGTGTGAAAGGTCAGCATTTAGAGCCTTACCAAAGCACTATTTTTGAAACAATACATCACTTAAATGTATAATTACATACACTACAAGTGGAAAACAAGTTTTTATTAACAAGAGCTATTGAGACTGGGAATAAATGTCTTAACCACAAACCCTGGAAATATTATGGGTGCTTTGATGTGGCCCTTTTTGGCAAGAGAATAAGAACAATGAAGTATGGCTTTTCAATCTCCCTTTAAAAGCATGTTTTATAAAATTTTGTAAGCTTAAGTTATTTTAGAAGATTCCAAAGGTTTTTTTCTGTAACATCATTTACTAATTAGAAGCATTAATTACGTCAGTATATTAAGCCATTGGCTGATAGCTGATCAGTGTAACACAGGAGCCATTTGCTTTCGCTGTTGGTTTTGTGGTTGGTTGGGGGTTTTTTTTGTTCTTTTTTTTTTTTTAAGGGAGGTACTTTTCTAGTGAGAGTACTACCAAACTTTTCAGAGGTTACTACATAGCTTCTCAAATAAAATCCTCAACAGTTTTGTTTTCCAGCAGATATTAAAATCAAGCATATGCAGAGAGCAAATACAATCAAGTGCAGACAGTTCAAAAGTATCTCTCAAACATGTTGTTTTACAGTTTACCCTCTGCAAAATAAAAAGTCCCTCCTCACCCCAATGGGACGGGGCAAGAAGGGGAAACAGGTCTGTCATTCATGTAGGAGTTTGGCTAGCATAAAGTTTTATTAAAGTTGTTAACAAAAATAGTTAAACATTTTTACAATTTAACATCCAGTCTGACAAAAGGCAAATCAATGAAAAAAATACAAAAAAGTAAAAAAGTGCACTACCCAGTCCAGTATTTTGCTTTAAAGTCATGTCACTTACAGTATATGAAAAATAAACCCAGAAGTGTAATTACTTTAAAATACACCGCTTCCATATTTCAGTATTTTATACATATATTCTATAGTGGAAGAGGAGATCTCTTAAAAACTTTACTCTTAAAATATTGAGGTGCATATGCCAAGTGGGATAGACTTGGCAAGTTAAGTTGCAGTAGAGAATCCTTTCAAATTTGGCATTTCATTTACATACCTTACCATGCCAGCAAGGTCTGTAGTACCTAAACCTTCTAGTAAGAACAGTAATTTTCTTTAATGCAGATTTACTAATACAGACAGCTACAAGAAACGATGAGGTCAGCAATTCTATGGGATCTTAAGGAGATATGAGTCCCGATTTAGTCATCAAATGGTACAATGTCACAACAAACTTTAAGGCCATGTTTTATTTGCTGATTAATGGACAAAAGGCAATGGATTTCCCCCCCCCACCAAATATTTTTGAAAGTCTGTGCTCATAAAAATCATGAAAAGTTGGAAAGACTTAATTATTGAAACTTTAAATATATTTTACACAATCTTGTTTGTACAAAAATACAAGTTAAATATAAACATAAAGCAATCATGATAATTTTATGTAAATCCATTTTGTGATATTCTGTTATATATAAAAAAGTTTCTCAGCTCTGTCTCATTTGTGAAAAGATCAATACCAGATTGAATCACTACTGGCAAAGGGCCCTAAAAAGCACACTTTAGCTTTAAATATGTTTTACAATGTAAGTACCATTTTCTGATTTCATCTTTTCTAAAGACTGGCAAAAGATAGGGCAGTATGTCCATAAACCAACAAATAATTTGGCTACAATGTCATAAAACACAAACACACAAATCTGTACAATAAACCCAGTAGCTATGCAGTACGTACTTATTACACACACACATACACAGACATGGAATGAAACTTAGAGAGACGCCATTTCTAGTTCACTGTTCTTCAGTCTGGCATTTTGTCTTACTTCATCAAATGAATATGACCTCGTTACCTTTCCATTCCTAAATACCGTATGAAGGAGATCCTGCAAGAAACACCACTGTTTTAGCAAGAGTGATTTGTCAAACGAACAAACGTAGGTTACACAAACTCAAAACAAGCACCCAAATCAAGCCTTTTAGGACTATGGCTTTAGACTGTCAAGATACTAAATCTTTACAGCTTCTTCTGATGCCTTTCACCAATGCTTGGCCAGAAGAAAGGATTTAGGCCATCCCGTGCACAGACGGAATCTTTGTGCTGAGTAACCCTTAAAATGAGTTGTCCACATTTGGCCAAAGCCAAATACACACACGTTAAATACACCTTGCTAGAGGAGCCAGTAAGAAAGGTGACACTCAACCAATTAAATACAGTTCAATTATAGATGTTTAAATAAAATCTTTATTTCCTCTAGAGCTATGAAGGAAAACAAAGGTTTTTTAAAAAAATCCCTTTCTTCACAGTCCCCTTTGCACGTATATTTTCTAAAACAGTGTATCAAGAAGTGCTTGCAAACAGCACGCTGGAAGAGTGGTAAGCACAGCTCTGTACCTCAAAGTTAGCACAGAGGCACGGCTCAGCAGTCACTATGCTTCATGACCCCTATTGCAAGGGCCTGCGGCTTTAGGGAAATGGGCCCACAGAGGAGTACATTTCCCCGTCATTTCCCAGGGAGCCCCAGAATCTGTATCACACAAATAACCCTCTCTAATATCCAAGGACAGAAAATTGATTAATAAATTCTTTCATCTGTCAAAAATGAAGGAACTATATATTGCTGAATTTTAGACCTCAAGTCTTGTGATTTGTGTTTTGAAGAGATTTCTCATCATTAGGTCCTTCCCCCTCTACACATATACATACATATGTATGTTCATCACAAACATATACACGTGCATATGTGGATATACAACTTTCAAAGTCTTTTCTCAGATCTTTGCATCCAGGTTACATTATCTACAGTGTATATAACTCAGTTTTTTGTCTTGAAATTTCTCAGAGAGATCTCAGTTTTAGTAAGCATAAAAACAGTATGACTAGCAGTACTGCTCTGCCTAGTAGCACACAAACGTGCTTCTGTATACCAGAAAACTCAAGAAATTTCCAGCTTCTAAAGACTGAAGTGCAATTTGATAACTTTATTTCAATCCTCTTAATACAGGAAGACTCAACATGCAGTTCAACATTTCACTGCCTGCATACTGAAAACGTAAGAGATATCAAACTGCCCAAGACTGGCGTAAAGTTTGTGATTATTTTAGTGAAATAGCATTTCATTTTGCAATTGTAAAGAATTAACAGGGAAATCAAATTCATAGTTTAAACTTCCATCTTTGAAAACTGGGCAACTATTCCACACACTGAGCATTAACATCTGAAGGAACTATTTAAATATCAAAACAGGGAAGTAGAAACAGATTTTAGTTATGTCTTTCCCTCTCCCACTTCCAACTTGGGTCACCACTCAAATTGTGCTTTATAGCCCATATAAAACTACTTGGCTAGCATATATTCTGCAACACTGAGACATTAGTTTTGGTAAAAAGCAGCGATGTTCTCTTGTTTCTGAAGACAAACAAAAGGAAAAGATCTCAAAATGTAAAGCCTGAACATTCTACTGGCATTCTAACATTCTGCTGTTACTGAATTTGGCACTGGGGACACTTCTGAAGTAATAAGATGGGAGTTGAACAAAAAGATAATCAAAACTTAATTACGACCTGCACTTTCTGAGTTTATTTTTGCAAGACAAATGATGTAATACATTTTAAAAATTCATACCTGTCCATACTCTTCAAGATCTCCCTTGCCTTCTTCAAGCGTCACATAATCTCCAGCGGGCGTCCGATGCAACGACAGTCTGCCTTTCTTCGACCTTTTGTTCGGATCGGCAACCGGATCCTTGAAGACATTTACCTAAAATGAAGAGAGTATTTTTTTTTTAAAAAGGAAAGGGCTCTGTGGGGCTTGTGTACCTAATACAGGTGGTGGTAATGTAACAGGAAACGTCAAACAGGTTTTTAAGCGGAGAGGCCTCCACTGAAAACACAGTGGTAGAAGTAGTAGAAAGACTTACCCCGAGACCGTTGGTCACCACATAACTACATTTGAAGGAACAGTTTAAGAGATCTCTGGTTAGTTTCTGCAACAAAGCTCCACCAGATCCAAAGGCAATATTCTCAATACTCCATTTATTCTTCTTCATTCCCTCCACAATCTAATAAGAAAAAGAAAACTTATGATGGAGCATACTTTTAAGCCATGACATTTTTCCAGAAAAATATTATACTACTAAAACAAGATGCTTTTACAGACAATTAAACCAACTAACATTCAGTTTCCAGGAGATATATGTAACAGTTATTTCAATACTTGGCACACTGTTTGCATTTTTATTTGTGATTTCAGCATGGCATAATTAAATAAAGTTTTTGCTGTAAAACTGTTATCATGCCAGCATGTAAACTTCCCAAACTAGGGTAGCAGTAACACAATGCTGAGACAATCAGAGCTCTAAAGAAAATAAAACTTCATGGGAGTACGTCAGAGCCTTCTGGTTTCTCAGAATTATGGGAAGTCCTCAAAGCACAGCATGTATCCTGAAACAAAGCAGTCATCTTGCTCAACAACTCCAGAAGGTTGTTACCCACTTTGAGCGAGGACTTCAACAAAATCACATTGACTAGAACCACGTTAGCAATTTCAAAGATGGGAAATGGAAATACATAAAGCTGCTCAAGAAGTTTGCTTTGCTGCCTTCTCAGGCAAGTACAGATCAACGTGAACTGCACTGCTATCAACAGTCAAGTTAAAACTTACTATATCATTCTTCCCCCACTCTCATTCTATCCAGACAAACATGACATCCTCTAGCCTGGAGTAATGGGTGCTAGTTTAGTCATGCTCATAAACGGCCAAGATTTGTTTCCCTGAACCTGTTACCCTTATGACAGCCTGAAATGGTGGTTATAGCCCCAATAAGAGTGTGTTTGAATTCCTATCTCCAAACCAAATTAACAAAAGTGGGTGAGAAAACTTCAGAATGGGTAAAATCACAAAATCCTATCCATCCAGAAAAAAGGAGGGCGAGAAGCAGAATGAAAGGACATAATCTACAGGAAACAGTGTAGAGTTTCAAAAATTAACATAATCAGAAATCTGATAATCTTTAGTGCAGTCTCAGCCTCCTGCATCAAAAAGAAATGCCAGAGTAACATTGAACAGGACTGTTTCAGGACCTACTGATGACAAATCACTTTATTTTTTTTTAAGGGACAGCTAAGGCAAAATTCAAGTTTCATAAGGAAAAAAAAGGAGACTTTCCAACTTCAGACACTGACAAAAGGGTGGCTAATGTAAATAAAAGAACATTTTGTATATTGATTTAGTCCCATTTGGATTGTTTCTTCACAGACACTCTCAAAGTCTGAATGCCTGACAGAGCCCATCCAACAGGAGAGGTGGACTGCAGAGCCATAACCTTTTGAGGGTATGCTCTGATCACCTTCGGACTACATTTTTAGCTGAGATTTCCCCAGTAAAGATCTCACCAGTGAGTTCCCAACTTACTCACCTGCATCCAAGAAGCCAAACAAAATGTATCTCAGGCCCTACCACCATGACTTTCACTTAAGGGAACCTTTTGGAAGCTTTGTATCCTGAACAAATATCCCCTCAATATGTGACAAACCCATGTATTTTAGCAGTAGTCATCACATCCTTTCAGATAGTGACCATACACAAAAGGAATCTGTATTTTCAGGTGATTAGGTTCTCCTGGAAGCAGTTAAAGGGGTACCCAGGGAGAATAAAGGATTGAAATAAATTAAATTCTTCCTTAAGCATCTCAGAAGTAACTGAAGACGACAAAAGAAGGGTAACAAAAGGGACTTGGTGTACCCTCTTCTTAAGCGTAAGGTCCAACAGCACCATAAGAAACCAGACCTGACCAGGCCTGGATATGGACTCTGTTTATCTACACTGTCTTTTGAAAAGGCAAATGCGGGTAAGCTCCACCTGGACTCTGATCAAGTTCTGTCCAGACGCTGAACACGTCTGAAGCCATGTGAACAGTTGGCCAAGCCTGAGCCAATATATTCTACTCCTTTCCTTATCAAGTTTTATAGATCACATCTGATACTGAACTTGCTTGAACACGCCTGCAAGATGTAGCACAAACTACCCGGTATAAACAACATCCTACCAAGGTCCATGATGCTTAGACTTGATGTTCACTGACACTTGTAGGTTAACAGATGCTAGTACAAATATAGCATAGCTGGGTCATGGCTGCTTAACCTTCCTGCCTGGGTGAGAAGAAATGTGAACCCCCTTTCACCTAGTGTGCCTGCTCTCATTTACAGATGGTTTGTTCATCTCATGCCACAGGCACAACTCCTCACTCACCTTAGTTTCCACCTCCCCACTGTCCCAAGGGATTTCCTTACTCAGACTGATCTTCGGCTGATGAGGGGTGAAAGGGAAGGGAAATCAAGACCAAGATGAAAGACAGCTCTGACTCTAACAGTGACCTGCAGCAGAGGCTCAGATAACAGCTTCCTTCATAATAGGGAAGAGATGGCAAACAGCAGCCATAATAGGGAAGAAGAAAAGTGGGAGATCTGAAAAAAACTGAAGCCTTCCCCAAAGGAAAACAAAACAGAAGAATTTATCTTGCACTTTCAAACCTATACAGGGAGAACAGTTCAGGTGTCAAGGTACTGACCAGCTTCCTCTGACCATTATGAGCATGATTATCAACTGTGACTCCAGATTAGAGGATTTTCTTTGTATAAAAATTTAAAGACATCTGGAAATTGAATGTTCAAAGAAAATCCTTTGAAAGTGTAGTACATTGTGGAGTTAGCAGATTGGAATGATTTTAAAAAGTGAAAATGCTAGGACAAAGTCAAAAAAGGTTCCTTACCTGTTCTACCAGCATCCCCTATTAAAACAAAATTTTAAAATCCAGTTTATACTCTGAGTTGTTCTCTATATTGTTGTTTCAGCTAGTTTGGATAGTTAAATGAGACTGATCAGTCATTACTCATTCTAGATTTTGCTATTGTACCCATTACCTTTCATCTGATCCATAGCAATAAATCATGCCTGGAATCTAAGATTAACAAGGAATAATTAGAACTATCACCTGTACAGGTTTTAAGAGGCTGGGGCGGGGGGGAGATGGCCACATCTATATGTTCATGTTTGTTCATGCAATTTCCTGTTGGAAAAGGATGACTTATACTTTAGGGTTGGGTTGGTTTGGGGGTTTATGGTTTTTTGGTTGGTTTGTTCCCCCCCCGCCCCGCAACTGCAAGCTATTACTCAGTCTTGCAAAAGTCAGCATAGTAACCTTGGTTTTGCTGACATAAGAGGATCATGAGGTCTATGAAATTTAAACATGAATAAAATTAGGCTACAAGATCATGGTCTTTTTGCTCCAACATAACTTGCTGCTGTCAAAAAAGTGTCTCTCTCGTTCCTGCCTGCTTCCCCCAGCTCAAAACAAGTTTATTTTCTCTCCTGTATTGTGCTGCTGAGTACTGGCCCCTTTTTTGAGTCAATTTAATTCACTAACCCACAAAATTGATCACTTCTGGCTGAGTTAGTTTGCTGCTATGTGTGGGCTAAATTAGTTTAATGACCAACGGTTCAATGACCAAAGCTGACACGAGGTGCACAGCAAGATCACAGAGTCAGGAAGAGATGAGAAGGTGGCCACTAGGCAGCAGGGAGTTACATCTGCTCTGTAAGCCCCGTGGAACTGGATCTTCACCTCTCTTCTACCACATGTTACAGGTAGACTTTTCCTTATAATCAGTTACAGTTTGATGAGGAAATTATGTGAACAGGGAGATCATCTGAACAAAGATTTGCTCCTTCTGCCTCTTATCTCTCTCATTAGCTCCTGGAATTATTTTCCTGTTCTACCTGGAAAGCAGTGCATTTTTTCCTTTAATGTAAAGTTTTTAAATACTAGTTTTAATATTTTGATTACAATTGATGCTATATGAGCATCCTTGTATTTTGTTCAGTGTAACTTGCAGAAACCAGCCTTTTGAGTTCCTTACAAGAAAAAATTAATAGTCCATATTCTTTCCGGTCATGACACATAAAAATCTCAACCACAACATACTCTGCCTGACACAGGCATCAGTCCTGTTAAATGGTTGTTGAGAACAAGCAGAAGTTTGTTTTTTTGTTTTTTTTTTTAAAAAAAAGGTCAGAGTCGCTTCCCTTAGTATCTAATGACAAGACTTACTTTCCACCTATTAACCTCTCATGCTTGTGTTCTGTGAAGCACATTAGCACAGTTGTATATTCCCAAAAAGCCACATGGGACAAAAAAATAAAGTAAAATGAACTTTGCATCAAAGGCTATTGGAGGAGGAACAAAACTAGTGGGTGACTGCACTACAGTTGGCGTATCAGGTAACAATCTCAATATTAACTGCTCTCTAAGGATCTGAGTGACAAATTTGAGTTCTGTCCTTGAAGTTCACATTATGTGCCCATGGTAGCTAAAGCAGACAATTTCAGATTAATTAGAAAACAAGCCTGGTGTCTCTTACTCTTCATTTTGAGGTGCAGCAAAAGTCAACTTTGTCAAGAAGAATCTAAGGATGTGTCAATCTAGAAAGCTAAGACAAGCATCAATAAAATCAAGTAAAATCAATCTTAAATTTATCTAACTTATTTCTGTTTTTGAACTAATACAGCTGAAGATGAATGATCCAGGACAAACCTGATAAAGTCAAGTCCTCCACATTTTACATGCCCCTCGTCATCTGTAGTCACTGCAGCCTGTACCTTTGTAACCACACTATACTACCTAGTATCTCCATCTAGTCAATAGTGGTGAATTTATAACTAGTTTCAAGCGTGCAGCATCTGCTAAATGACCAATTTTTGTCTTGATGAAATCGCACTTTTGACTCAGACTACAGCCTAATCTGTTATACACATTTTCTGGGCTTTCAACAATCCTTATTCCACTAGTTGCCAAATCAACAAACTTGCCTCCCTCACTGACTTTAAAAATTCTCCTTGAAAACCACACCTTCAAAATATGAGTGCAAGCATACTTCAGATGGTACATAACTAATGAGCCAGGCTAATTAATTACTACTATTGCTATAGCACAGCAATCATGCAGTGTGCTTTAGATACCAATGAAAGGACCAAACACTGCCAGATTTTGATTTGAATGAGACTTGACAAGCAGGATGAAAGCAAACAAAAGGAGAGACAGTGGGAGGAGAAGGGTTACAACAGGGGGATTAGGAAATGCCTTTTAGGTTTTTTTATGCATCTTAATAATTCCCTGTGGAGGTTTAATGAATTTGTTTTACGCATTAGGATATCATTGCCAGTGTCTGGAATGAAGGGCAGGGTGGGGTCAGCAGAGAAGCTGCAATATCTGACTAGTCTTAACAGAGTACAGATTAAATATCAACACTGTCAGTGTCACCCTGACACATGAACAGCATCTCCTACCTCTTGCAGTGTGTTGATATCCACACCATCCCCTTGAATAACTCTGAGATATGGCGGCAGCAACTTGTAGCCTTTTGAGTTCTCTGTAATGGGAAATTTCTTCCCTAAGATCTCCAAGACCTATTCAAAAGAGAAGGGAGACAGTTCAAAATAAAAATAAAAAGCTGCCATTCCAATAAGGAAACACAATTTCCACATTTTAGTCATGCTCTGAAAAAAACAAATATTTACATAAATATACCCACATATCCTGCTCTAAATCTATCCACATAGGCACACACACAAAAAGCACACCAGCCACTGTGGTGGAAGCTATTAGGTTAAAGAAGTCACAGTCCATATGGCCTTTATGAACTTGTACCTGAAAGCTAATCAGAAGAACCATGCTTCCCTCCTTTCTCTCTTTGGTGGCTAGGATTTTTTGCTATTAAATGTGTCAACTGAATATTCTGCTCTTCTTTCGACCTCCCTCTTAAGATGGTGGATGAGGCTTTTGGTTTTCTGCGATTTTGTTAGCCACCAATAATTAAAATGAAACACTTCAGTTAGGAGTTTTTCTTATCAGCTCTGATAAAGATGATTCAAAGTTCCTATTTATGATATGCCACTTGTGCCAAAAAAAGTGTTAAAGCTGTATGGATCTAATTTGATAAGAGTACCAACATAACTAAAATCTCCCCTACTTTCTTATTAAAAGAGTGCTGACAGCTACTCAAATTCAGAAGCATCAACAGCTTTTATTATAGAACTGCAACAATCATTATGCTAAACGTAGCTCTAAAGAGCTACAAGGCAAAAAGCATTTTTCAACTCCGAAGTTGTGTGCCACGGACTTAAATGCATGTCTTACAAAAGGGAGAAAAGTGCTAAACTTTTGTATTTGTAGCATAAAACAGTGAATTACGTTAATACAGGACAGCAAGATATTTAAACTTGGTGGTAAGAAGTATTATTGGCCTGGCATTTGTTAATGCTCAAGTTGTTTCCTGTTTTATTTCTCATTAAGTGATGAAAGATCTCTCTCTTTATAGAATCATTCCAGCACCTTTAGACCAGCAAAACCAGTAGCTGTTGTAAAAGCTTCAAGAATAGTATGCAAGAATGGGTTTGATGGAAAAGATTAGACTATTCAGACTGCAAAAGAGTTTCCATATCTATATTTAGATGAGGTAAACGTTTACATTTTTCATAGCTCCTAATCATCTAGCATCACATATACACTATGCATAACAAGTTAGAATATTATGTTTCCTATGTTTGTTAGCCAGTCATTACAAAGCAAACAATTGCACTTCCCAATCTTGTATACAAATTACTTCAAGAAAGGATTACCTTTAAAACAGTGTCAAGGGGATTCCCAGAATCTGGTCTAATAATAAGCGGTGCCTCTGGACTTCGGGCTTCAATTATGTGCCTTAGGTCATCACCCCATATTTTTTCACAAGCATTGTAAATGTCGTAGCTGTCACTAACCACAGATACAGGCACTGAAGAAAACTGTGTCACTATGTGTTCAAAAGCATCTTTTTCATGATCTTTCCCCCAGGCTGTTATGGTACTGTAAAGTCAATTGAAAAATCCATATTAGAGCAGCATTCATATGTTAAATCTCACATTCTGTATCTCCTACCAGCAACAGTTCAAGATAATGATAGGCACTATGATTACAAGACAGCATAAACTATGTGCTTATCAGCACTATGTTGCATGGATGGTAAATATACTATATACTAAATAAACAGCACCCTGGATTTATCTTTGGAAACTCAGACAAACACTTAACACATGAAGCTTGTTTCACATATAGATGTGATTTTATTTTTTTTTTTTTTTTAAACATTTGTGAGAGTTTCTCTCTTAAATCTGAAATTCAGACGGTTAGGGAACTACAGATGCAAGAACAGAACATCTGCTCTGGCAACTTCAGAGTCCAAAATGGAAAGTAGAGAACTAGCAGCATACGTTAGAAAAATCTTAAAAGAAAACACAGTTTATTTTCTTTTTTAATAGTGATTTAAAACCATTATGCTCACTCATACAAACATTCTTCTAGAGGAACCTCAGGGCATTACCCTTGGTACAAGGGTATAGGTAAGCACATAAAACAGAGCTGCTAAGAGAGGTAATAAGTTATTGAATGCCAGTTGATCTGCATGTGGCTGTCACAGACCAGCTGACATAACTGACTTCAGTAACTTGTGTATGAACCCCTAAAACGTTCTCATGCAAAGCACAGGTGTGCAGCAAGAGCTAGTGGGCATTGAATTTTTACCATTAAATGTTTGCATTAATTTCTGCATGAACAAGCCCCAGATCACAGTAGTGAAGAGGCAAAATAGGATTTATTTCATAGAGGCTGGGGCAGCCTGAGGACCAACCCTGGTGGCACACCAGAGGCAAGCATCATGCTCACAAAACAACCTCATACTGGAGGTTGTGCAACAGTAGAACAATTCTGGAAAAATTCAGGTTTCTTGCACCAGACCATTTTTGTGTATTAACTTATAAAGGGTGACCGTAGACTGCATTTAGCAATGAAAACTTTAATTAGGACAGTTTAAGCTGCTTTCATACCACCACTTCAACATGCTGTGCAGAAGACGCTTGTTTGTTCTTTGACTCCCTGTGCTTGCCTTCTTTACAAGGAAATTTATAATTGCTTGGTCCATCATTTTTTGATTTAACTGTAGCATTAAACTAAGCTAAGAGAAGACACTTCAGAAATAGTTGTCACATCTACTGACCAAGCAGGTGTTCTAGAACAGCACTACAGCAATGGTCCAGAAAGTTATATGATGCAGTGTTCGTTCAAATACAATCACCACCCTATTAGGACTATTCATGCAAGCCTTTCCGTTGTCTGTCTCGCAATTCTAAGCAAAAATATTCACTATTTAAAAGCACTACGTTTTGTACTCTAAGAAAAAAACAGCTGTACCTTTATATTCTGCTTATTTGAGTATGCACACTTGCAAGTGAAATCAAAGGATCTGCATTCACTCCTGACCTTTTACAGCATTCTGGTATAAAAAGCGAGAGTTCTTCACCTCAAATGTCTGTTTGAGACCAGTTCCTTACTCTCAAAAACTCATTCACAGTTCTTAGTGAGAGATCAAGGGTTTACCATTGTCTGAATTAGTTGTGCTGATGGGAAGCTTTAGAGCAACTGCCTCTTCTGGAGGAAGAACATGATCTGGGAGAGTCCAGAATTGCAACTTACATGGTTTTTAATTTTATGATTCTATGTTTAAAACAAAATTTAAAGTTCATAACATGAATCCTCATTATCTACTTTTACCTGTAAGATTTCATGTCCATTCTAAAAAGAATCATTCAAATTTACTTAGACCCTGATAAGAAGGTTATCGTTAAAAACATTTGAAACGTGTTTGCAGTTAAGAACAACCATGCCACTGTTGTGTCCCTAGAACATACAGAGGCATCAGTATTGCACTTCAGCTTCAACAGCTGGACCAGATATGGCTAATACTATATAATATAAGTGAAACAGCTTAATATTTCTGGATACAAAGATAGGTAAGAAAAAATTACGTTTTCTTAAGCTATTTTCAAAAAGGCTTTAATAGTCTAATATCTTACCTGTGTTCAGCAGCTGGAACAGAATATCCTGGAACCGGATCTTTTGTACCATAGTACTTTTTAATTAATGCAATTCCTGCTACAGTGTCTGTTCCTTTGAAGTTCACCAAATGAGCTGAAGCTCCTATTCCTGCAGTCTGAAAAAAAAAAATATGCAACTTTCAGTTGCCACGCCAAATATAGAAGCCTAAATCCAGTCACCGCCTAGCACCAGTTTGTAACAGCAAAACTCTGACTCAGTTCCCATTTCACCAATAGCCTCTTCATGCATTTACAGAGGGAAGACAGCTTCCATATAGGAAAAAAGCTCTCCCAGTCTAGTGTTCACAGTTCAGACAGAGTACCCACCCCAGATCTACCCACTGCACTGAAGTCCAAACACAGTGCTCTGTGCAGTCACAATTTCACTGCTGAACAGAGACACAACTGAAAACAGATACACACTACAATCCTTTATAGTTAAGAACAATTAGATTTCTCAAATTATTAGACAAGTAGGATTACCTCTTGTGAAGAAACTCCTCTGTAGCCAAAGTCATGCAGTTTATACTCCAGTCCTTCTAAGCTGCCAGAAGTCTCTAGCAAATACTTGGCCAAAATCTTTTTCTGCTCTCTAGAGTTTGTAGCCACTGTGATTGGATACCATGACTGCACAAGAATAGTCTAAAACAAAACCCATCACATTGTTAGGTGTAGGTTTGCTTAGGACTTCAAAATACCCACTTGGCATTTAATCAGGCACAAAAAGGTCTATTTATTTTCATCACCCATTCAGAAAGTGCTGGTGCCTCCAACAGTTTGCTTTAGGGCTGAAGTAATTAGCCTTTCTAATACCTTTATAAGGTAGGCCAGCCAGGTATTGACCATCTCAGGAGTTAGCACTCCCAAGCTACACACAATTCCCCCAACCCTCTTTTCCTTGTGGATAAAAGTACTGTTGTGAATTTCCTGTAAAATTCTTACAACCTCTTGCCAAGTAGGGGGAAAAGGTCTGTGTTAAGAGCACTAAAAAAAAAAAAAAGAATCCAGGATTAGTTCAAGCAAAAAACTAAAGCCTCCAGAAATTCCTCGTAAAACAATAAGGGATTCTACCTTTAAACTAAGTGTATTAATATTTACTTAGAAAAATCATGCTAACTTTCCAAACTGACCTCAATCCAATTTGTGAGCCAGTAGCACTCCGGATCTGTGTTTTCTACTGTGAAAAGAACGTTTCCTCTGGGAATTACAGAGCCCTCAGGAACAGCCTTTATTTCTATAGGAAGATGGCCATCGTATTTCTGTGTAAGAAACAGTAATACTGTTAGACAACAGGAAAGATTAGGAGCCACCCCTTTTATTTGACTGCAATGGATAAAAGTCAGACTATGATTCTGTTGAAAAAGCTTTCTTCTTCATTTCTTTCAGTCCTAGAAATAATTCAGTTTGTTTGCAGACCCATCAGCCCAAATAAATAAAAAAATCCACATTTATCAAAAAAGGAAGAAAAAGATATAACCTAAAAATAGTCTCTTTGTCAAACCAAACAATGGTTATCACTTGTATTCCTTGTGCAAACTGAGTTAGGAAGGCTTCAATATTCTACAAAAATACACAAGTTCTACCCACAGAATAAGAAACTTTTGCTACTCAGTTTTCTTCACTGTGTTTACATGAAGTAAGCTAAAAAAGTTTAGCTATTATCTAGGCCTTAAAAAAATCTCTAGTTTTGCTTAGTATAGATGTGTGCTTTGTTAATTTATTAGAGCAGGATCCATTTAATATCTATTTTAAAGAATATTTTATAATCTAAATTATTCACCAAATATGAAATCTAATCTTGAATTGTCATTCTTTTGTCAAATTCAGTCTTTGATACCTGAAGGACCACACATTATGTGAAATATGCCTTTTGAAAAAGAGTAAGTTGCAAATAGCAACTCTAAAAGAGTAATTATAACTTTCTGAAAGAGCTTTGCGAGCTAAACTGATAATACTTAAAATGTTTAGTATATTAATACTTTTTGACCGAAAGCTTTTAATGAGATATTCTTTAAAGGCAACAAAAATTGCATCAATTCAGATTCATAAGTAGCATGAAAACATATTCTCCAGTGCCTAAAATATATTAGAACTCTTTTCTACACTACAGTTTTAAAGTTTCTTCCAAAGTGTAATATGCTGAAGCAAATTGTGTTTATATACCACACACAGTTTAGTTGCCAGACTTGGAGATGTCTGTTCTGGATTAAAAAAGGACAATGAAGCCTTCAAAAAGGCTCAAAATAATTTATTACTGATTCAATTAAGACAAAATTATACTTAAGTGAAAAAACAAAACATATTTCAAAGTTGCTATAGGTGGTAATTTTGTCCACAGAAAAAGCAATACAATCATACCATAGCACGATGTTATAGCCCTTTTCAAATTTTTTAGGTAGAATCAACTTGTACAATTCAAGGCTTACTTCTCTGTAACTCTTGGTCAATTCCCGCCCGCTTCCAGCCTTTACACCACTTCCTTGTTCCCCAGGCAGTCCATTCCTCTCCTCCACCCTATCAGTATCTACTCATTCATTTACTCTTTATACTAATTCATGCATGTACATTTCAAATTCATTTTGGCACTTCACTCATACAGCCTTTTCTGCCTCCATTTTACCTAATGCTACACATGAGGTAACAGAGGTAACAGGTAACAGAGCTTGAGAGCAAACAGTTGTAGGTATGTGAATATATACAGCAATCAACACTTCCAGTTTGAGAGCCATTAGCACCTAAGATCAAGAAGTAGAAATCATATTTGTTTATATATATATATGCACAATGTTAACAAAAAAGTCTGATAAAGGAATAAACAATGTACACAGGGTGTATGCAGGAAGGCTTATTTTAACTAAACCAAAAGCATGCATTGAAATTGACTTAGTTAAACCATGTTAAAACTCAGTGTGGACAGACATGCAGCATTAAAAGTGTATTAACTTGGTTTAGTCAAAGAGGGATCAAGATTACTTTAAATACAGATGAGAGCACTTCCCAATGTATAACGTAGCTTAAACACAAATATAGATTGAATTCAAATCTGTAGTTATTTCAACTGGATGCAAGTCCTCTACAAACCTCTCTGTAACTCCCTCTTAGAAAACAGTGGTTTGATTTACCTTGCTGCCATTTGCAACATTTAGTTGAAATTCATTTTTCTCTTGCACACCTTATGGTTCACCCTGGTTGCAAGATGACATCCAGATATATTCACAGACAGATGTCACCATAACACACAGTCAGGGTACCCAGGGAAAAATAAATGCAAAGAACTAAAAATTGTATTTTCAAATGCCAAAAATATCCATTCACTAGAACCCACAATGAAATTTAGCATTTAATTATTCTGCAGAGATTAGAAAAGCTCTGATGAATGCTATTAATCTGAATCTGCTGAGACGCAGAGAAGAGATGTCTGCAATTACTTGAAGACTGTCACCTTTTTAAACAAAAGCGAAAGAGGATAATTGTGGAAAGACTTAATTTGGAGGGATTTGTGTGTCAGAAGTGCTCAAGCCTTGTATTTCATAATCAAGTTCCACTTAAATATCTCTGAAAAATTTAGAAAACAATTAAACCAAACATGTATTTCCTGGAACTATTTACACACGCAAGAAGTTGTAATTCTTTCTGTATTAGAATAAAAACGGCTATAATTAGTTGCAGAAAGCAATGTAAATGATGTAAGGAACCACTAAACACTGTATTATATATGGAGACTTGCCAACAAGCCCCTACTTATACAAGCTGGCTGATGGCAGCCATAAATCCTTATTACCTGCAAAGCCATATTTGGCATCTGAAAGGATGAAAATTACTTTTC